CCCAATGGTCTTTAGTCCACTGTGCAACCACATGCATGCTCCTCCTCCAAGACAGTGTCACCCCTGAAATGCCTCGAGTCTTGCTCTTAGCTGGGTCTCAGGAGTCCTGGCTGTGCATGGCCTTCTATCGGAGGCTCCCTTTCTCTGGGGCACCAATAGCCGCCCACGTAGAACGCCCTGCTACCTCTCCAGCAAAGGAAAAGGCTCAGGGCTTTCTCACTCAAGGATCCTGCAGAGCCCAGTTCTTTTCTCAGTCTCAGGGTAGGTTTTAAAAATTGTTCTTTGTCCCTAGCTAGTTAGCGCCCCGTTTTCTTCCACTCGGGAGCAATTTCCCTCCAAGACTAATCATGGGAATTGTTCCTTTCTGCCCTGCTATAGAAGAGCCCTGAGAGGTAAGTGGCCAGTCACACCCCTGTAGGGATTAGAGGTGAGGAGCTGGAGGAAAAATACCTATAGTTAAATAAAACATTATTCATGGGCTGGAGAGATGACTCAGTGATTACGAGCAGTTGCTGCTCTTGCAGAGGAGCCAGGTTTGGTTCCCAGCACCCACATGGGAACTAACAATGGTCTGGAACTCCAGTACTAGGGCGATCTGAAGCCTTCTTCTAGCCTCTGTGGGCACTGTACCCTTGTAGTGCACGTACATACACATAGACAAAACACTCATACATATTAAATAAATAAATAAATCTTTTTAAAGACAGAATAGGGCTGTAGTTGTAGTTCAGTGATAGATTGCCTAGCATGTGTGAGACCCGGGGCTAGATCCCAGCACCAGAAAGAGAAGAAGAAGAAAAAAAAAACAGAAGTAAAAAAAAGAAAAAAACTAATGCTCTAACCCACTGTGAACAACAATTAAGATATTTTGAGGTAGAACTCAAACATTGTTGTCTTTAAAGAGTTTCCCCACCAGATTCTAATGTGTAGTCTCAGTTAAGAACTGATGATAGGAACAAATGTGGAAGGCAATAGAGGAGGCAGCTGCTGGGTTTGCCTCTGGAAAAGCGTATGTGTGCAGAACGGATTAGGGATGAGGGAGTGAGAGATTTACTTTTCACTGTAAACTCTTTGACCTTGTTTTGGGGGGTGATGACCCCAGGACTTTATACATACTAAGCACATACTATACCACTGAACCACATCTTCAGCCTTTTGATCCTTCAAATTTATTAACTTGACTTTGCGTTACCTAGTTTCAAAACAATGAAATTGAAATTTTTTATGGTAAAACATCTATAGCAGCGGCAATGAATACTGAACAGCAAATTGGGAACAGGCCATTAAATAGTGGGGATCAGTACAACAGTGGGGCCTTACAGCAAGTAGCCTGTCCCACTGGGGAAGAGTGGGTGAGCAGGAAGGGCTGAGGAGGGAAAATCCAATGTGGTCCTTAACCTGAAACAATTCTTTGCTGGCCCACAATGCCCCCAGCTATACATCATGAGGTACTCTTTGATAAAGCTGTTCAGGACAGAATAGTGGCTATTACATGTGACCCTCAGGCTGCTGCCCCCACCTCCCAGGAACTGGAGACCATCAGGAAAGAAAGTGCTCAGGTTTAGACAGGAGGGTAAACAGTACTGACTGGCCAGGCTGTTGACCGATGTTAAAGCAGACTGTTAGCCAGCTCTCCATCAGCAGGAAGCTGGCTGTCTTTCCCCTCCCTTAGACTTGCAGAGCCACAGGAGCACTAGTAAAGGTAAAACATGAACATAAACCAAAGTCCCGCTCTGTGGGACCCTTGGGATGCTGTAAGGAGCCACAACAGTATACAGCAGCTGGGGATGCTGAACTGTGAGGAAAACCCACAGACGGCTGTGACCTAAGGCTTCTTTTCTAGCCCTGAACATAGCTGAGTGTCTTAGGATAGGGCATCTGACAGCTTCCATTTAGAAATCCATCTCTATCCCCCACTACCTGTCAGTGACATGACTTTGATGAAAAATATCATGACACTCAATTTCTTAATCTGTGATGAAGGTTAATATGGATGGATGCAAAGAACAAAATGATAACCATTATTAAATTTGATCAGTCTTTGCTGGTGTCTGTTCTATGTGGGACGGGAGGCAGATTTTTGTTTGGCCATAATAGTGAATGTAGTGATAAAGGAAATGGGCTTATCTGTTTTTCATGGGCTGTTGGCCCATTTCAGTGGGATTTCATCTATTATAAGAAACAGATGATGCAGAGACCCGAAACTTCAGTGCCTTGACAATGGGAGGAAGATCATCCCACACCTATCACCCACTCCAAGACTCAGGGACTTCTGTGGAAGAGGTTGGACTGTAGGAGCCGGAGGAAGGGGTGGAGTGTTAACTGGAACTGTCCTTTGATCACTATGCCAGTAAACTACAGCCACACCTGTTTCCCACACTTGTCAAGGAGTCCATGGGGGAGTCAGCTACCCCTCCCACCCAGTCAGTCGGCTTTAGCTAAATGTGGGTGAGGGGCTAAGCATATATAAGCTGAGAATGCCACGAGACACCTCTCTCACCATTTTGTGCAGCTGTGAGGAAGTCAAAGGATCTATATTTGAGTGTGGACTTTTCCAGAGCAGCCGTAAATGGGGGGTAGGATGCCCAGTCGTCTGTAAATAAACCCCCACCCTATGCTCTGTCAGCAAGCCCAATAAACTCATCAGGATTTTTCAAACCAAAGGAAAAAAAAAAGAACAGAGCTGTTGGAAACCTTCATTATTCCACCAAAGTTGACCCCATGTTGGCAAATCTTTTGGTCTTTGATTTCTTCTTCCTATTTTTCCCCCCTTAAACTTCATTGTATATATTTTTTATGTAACCTGCTTCAAGCTATTTTTAGAAAAATGTGTTAAAAATTGCCTCTCTTTGGAATAAAAGGAAAAAAAAAAGTGGGCTCTGCCCTCAGCTGTGACCCAGTACACTCATTCTGTTATCTGAGAAGCTGCAGGCAACTCACCTATTTCTGAGTTGCATTTACCGCTTTTAAAAAAAGAATCATAGCCAGGTGTGGTGGTTTACACCTGTAATCCCAGCACTTGGGAGGCTGAAGCCAAAGCCTGAGCTGCAGAGTGAGACCTTGTCTAGGAAAAAGACCCAGCAGTGGGTGAGATGGCTCAGTGGGTAAGGCATTCGCAGCCAAGCTGGACAACCTGAGTTTGATCCCAGGATTCACATGGTAGAAGGCAAGAACAAACACTTGAAAGTTGTCCTCTGACCTCCACCCCCCCACACACACAAATAAATTAAGAAAAAATGTTAAAACACTAAATATTGTATTTATTTTTATTTTTATGTGTATGAGTGTATTGCCTGCCTGTGTGTAACTGCACCCCCGTGGTGCAGTACCTGCAGAGGACAGAACAGTGTTGGATCCCCTGGTACTGGAGTTACAGACAGTTGTTAGCTGCCATGTGGGTACTGGGATTGGAACCCAGGTCTTCTGTAAGAACAACCAGTGCTCTTAATCACTGAGCGATCTCTTCAGTCCATTAAATATTTTAAAAGAAGAGAATCATATTTTCTCTTAAGCTGTGAGAATTGAATAAAATAATAAATGTGAAGGGCCTTGGCAGCAGAAATGAGCAGTGGGAGTGGGAGGGAGATTGGGGGGGCTTAAAATAGAGGAAAGACGTTTTTGTTTGGGATTAAAGGTGTGTGCCACCATGCTCACAGAGTGCAAGCTATTACACGCGTGAAATTGTCAAAGAAAAAACTCAATAAAAGTTTAAAAAAAAAAAAAGAAGAGACAGCCGGGCGTTGTGGCATAAGCCTGTAGTCCCAGTTCTTGGGAAGCAGAGGCAGGCAGATCTCTGTGAGTTCCAGACCAGCTGGGGCTGCAGAGGGACCCTGTCTCAAAAAGACAAAAAAAAAAAAAAAAAAAAAAAAAAAAAAGGAAGCGGTGGCATTTTTCCTTGGGGGGAATTCTGGGGGGAAAAAAAAATTTTTTTTATAAAATTCTCATAATCTCACCTTTCCCACGGTTTGGGGTCCCCTTTCAAAAGCGCCTGTCAAAAAAAAAAAAAAAAAAAAAAAAAAAAAAAAAAAAAAAAAAGGCAGTCGTTGGCATTCTGCTAGTTGGGGAATCTGTAGGGAGTTACAAAGTTCTTTGTACATACTACTGTCATACTCGACCTTTCCAGGACTTAGGGTGCCCTTTGAAAGTCGAGAGCACAAGCGTCCATTGAACATGGGTTGTCCTAAGTGGCAGCAACAGGATACAAAAAACACGTGTTCTGAGTCCTGACACAGTTTGGCTTTGGGAATTACGAATTTGATGGAGGACGGAAACTTGGGGATCAATAGCCTCTCGGAAGGGAACCTCTTAAATGACTGTGCAGAGGTGCTCTACAAAAGGAAGGAAAGGAAATTAATCACATGGCCTCTCCTTGTATCTCCTGGGCTCCTGTAAGCCACACACAACGCAGAATGAACACATTAGACATTTGGGACAGATGATTAAATCAAGATAGGGTTGTCAGGGGTGGCCTTGCTGGGGCTAGTACAGGGTTAGACATGGTTCAGCTACCAGCGATAAGCAACCACCCAGCAGCAACCGGGATGCAGGACCCCGCCGGAGAGAGGAGAAAACGAGCTCGGAGGACGCGGGAGCGGACAGAGAGCGGCGAGGCTTTGGAGAGTGTCTCTCTTAAAGGTCATGGCTTTTAAACAAGGGTTGAGGTTGAACTTCATATTTATTTTTATATTTACACTTTTAAAGGAGCTTTCTGGTTATTGGGCTCTTTAGTGGAGAATGAGTCCTGGGGCAAGAGCCCTTTGCACGCCAGGTTTCAAACCCCCCCCAAAAGCGCGGCGGTTCCAGCCAATTCCCGGCCACAAGACCGACACTAGCCCCCCGGGCCAGGAGAAACCGCTGAACGGATCCCGCGGCGTGGCGCGGACTGTCCAGGACAGCCAATCATGAGAGTCTGAGGGCGGTGCCGTCTCGAGCTCGGGCCAGGTTATTGGCTGGCTGCCACGCCGCTCACCGCCGAGTCACGTGACCACAGGCCTCGGCGGTAGTTCCAGGGCGCGCCTTCCGCACCGTTCTGGCGTGGCAAGACCCGCCTCTTTGGGGCCGCCAGGGGCGGGACGCGCACTTGTAGGTTAAAGGGGGGGGCAGCGTGGGACCAGACCGCCGATGCTGGAGTCGCGGCGTCCCTTCCGCCCGGCCTGGGGAAAGCCTGACCTGCGGATTCTCCCGGTAGCTCAGTGGGAACCAGGACCAACGCGACGGCGCCCGCCTCCCTGCCTCGGTCGGCGGGGACTAGGACCGATCCGGGCCTGCAGGTCCTCCCCGCGCTGCTCGCACCTCGTAGGGTGCTAGAACCGACCGGGTAAGTCGGGGCTCGACGGAGGAGATGCATCTTTGAATAGATGGATCACTTGTTATCTCACCCTTATAATCAAACACATGGGTAGGTACAAACTTAGTACAGGTACTTCCTTCTCACCCACTGAAGTTGGAATTTTTTCCGTGGTTAGGTAGAGACCCTGAGAAGACACAGGTTTAGGATTACGGAGCAAATCATTTGCAGAGATAGCGCTTGAACCTAACCTCTGCCCAGTTAAGAGTATTAGGCTGTGCGGCCTTTCCCTTAACAGATTGCGTTCATTCAGAGCCTGAGCTCCTTTCTGGCACTGTTGTAGTATTATTACCTTTTATTTCCTTGCCCGTGGCTGCTTTTGACGGCGGAGGTACTGGAGATTGAACGTGAGGCCTCCAAGTGTGCTACTCCTAACCCCAATCCCATGGTTATTATAGGACATCCAGAACCAGTGTGGTATACCGTGTTGGATATAGCTGAAATTCTAGTTTTTGAAAATTGGATCAGTAAGAAATGGTGGGTCGTTTTAGAATCTAAAGGTTTGCAAGAGACAGCGACTAATAGTTATTATTTATTGAGTAAATACTTTTGTCACACAAGTACAGTACTGGCCAGAGTACTTTACATGTTTTAGCTTATTGGTAACCTTTCCTTTTGACAGATCAGAAATGGATTCTGAGTAGTTTTTGCCCAGTACTGTAAAGCTTTTGAACAGTGTACCTGGGATCTGAATAGAGATCTGATCCATGGATTTCCAAAACACACCCACAGATTCTCCAAGTGTGGTAGGAAGCTCATTATCTCATCATCACCCCAGGGTAAGAGGCTCCTGTTTCCTTTGACTTACAGGGGCCTAACTATCTGCATTTTATCTTTGAACTGAAAGCATTGTATAGTGCTGTAAGGTGCTGCCTCCTAGAGAGCAATCTGAGGATGAACATACTCAGGGCTTTGGAGAGCTCCAAATTATATTCTAGGGTAAGTTTCAAAAGGCCAGCCTGGTTTACTTGTCTGAAAAAGACCAAAAAAAGAAAGAAAGATATATACTTTGAGCAAAATACAAGCAGATGCTTACCGTGCTATAGTATATTGGTGCAGGATGGTTATAGTGTCTTGGGGCAAGGGGTGGTGATTGGTGAGTTACATGATAATAAAAATTAATTCCCTTTCCTTCTTGGAAAGCTCATCATCCACTCAACAAATAATTGTAATAGAGTGTTAGGCAAGGTATTTGGAACTTGGCTTGAACAACATAAGGCACTGCCTTCATGGGAAAGACAGACCACTAAAAGTGAATTGGAGCTAGACGCATGCAGATCTCTGAGTCCAAGGCCAGCCTACTCCACATAGAGAGTTCCAGGCCAGCTAGGGCTATATAATGAGACTCTGTCTAAAAAAAAAATGTAGTCTCATAACTATCTGTAATTCCAACTCCAGGGGGTCCAATGCCTTTTCTGACCTCCACAGGCAGCATTATGCATATAATGTACCATAAAAGTAGGTCTGGGGAGATAGCTTAGAGGGTAAGTGTGCTTCTCTGCAAGCAAGAGGACCCAAGTTCGAATCCCTAGCATCCATGTAATAGTGGGCCATGCCAACTACAGGTGCCTGTAACCCCAGCATTGAGGGGTGGAGACAGAGGGATCTCAGGAATTCACTAGCAGGCCAGCCTAGCCAAAAACAGTAAGCTTCAGGTTCAGTGAGAGGCCTTATCTCAATAAAATGGAGGGCCAGCGAGATGGCTTAGTGGATAAAGGCATTTGCCAGGCAATTGAGTTCATTACCTTGAACCCACATAAAGGTGGAAAGATTTGACTCCACAAAGTTGTCCTCTGAACTCCGTACTCCTACTACTGCATACACACACAACATATTATTGTAAAGTTAAAAGAGGCAGAACAATACAGGATGACATTGGACATCCTCGGTGCTCATCTGCACACATGTGCATATAGCACAGGCACACATACATAGATACTCAAAGTGATTTAAGTGTTAGGCGTTTTACCAAACCTACTTTAAGCATAACTTATTAAAATTACCAGTAGGACTCAGCAGTGAGTTGAGTAGATTAATTTTTTAACCTACTCAGATTGAGTAGATGAATGCTTTGAACTAGTTCTTAGGAAACAAATTTAGAGGCAATGTGGTTTTATAGAAGGTAGCCAAACTTGGAAATTGAAAAGTTGTAACTTAAGAATCTGGTACTACCATTTGAGAGAGTGTCTAAACTTTGGTTTGCCTCCTACTGACAAAGAGGAATACATATTTTGTTTGCACATTTCTTGAGGAAGCAAGTGTATGACGTCTCTAAAAGCTGTGAGTTGCCTACTTCTCTGATGGTTTTGCATTCAAGTTTTTTCTTAGTGTATTTTATCTTGTATTGAGTTTAATGTTAGAGAAATATATGCTAATACACTATTGATACCAACCTTATAATATTTCTTTTGCAAATGAGCAATTTTTTGTTTGTTTTTGTTTTCTTGTCTTTTTTGAGACAGGGTCTTCTTGTAGCCCCAGCTGTCCTGGAACTCACTATGTAGACCAGGCTGGCCTAGAACTCACAAAGATTCACCTGTCTCTGCCTCCCAAGTGCTGGGATTAAAGGCATGCACCACCACACCTGGCCAGCATTGTGTTTTTAAAAAATATTTTATTATTTTTATTTTATGTGTATGAGTATATTGCCTGCATGTGTATAAGTGTACCTGTGTCATGCAGTGCCCACGGAGGTCAGAAGAAAGCGTCAGGTTCCCTGGAACTTGAGTTATGGATGGTTGTTAGCTACCATGTGAGTGCTAGGAATTGAACCCAGGTCCTCTGCAAGAGCAGTCAGTACTCTTAATGGCTGAGCCATCTCTCCAGCCCATGAACATTGGTTTTAATAACTGGAAAATAAGTATGCTTACTTGTTAGTATATTCACTTAAAACTTGCTTTAATTAAATAAACATAAATATTGTTTATTTCAGTAAATACAACGTAGCCAGACATACCAAATATGAGACGTTAGGTTAGGTGCTGGGTTATATAGAAACAAGAGTGTTTTTTCTGTCTGCCTACAAATGTGCTGTAGTTTGAGAGGTGTGTTAACTTGAGTGCTGAGTAATTATGTGTAATGTCTTGGTAAGTATAGCCTAGAAAGTATAAATTGCCCTGATCTCGTGGCATTTGAAACAGGCCTTGTAGGATTAGCAAAAGGATCAAGATAGGTGAAGGGGCTGAGAGTGTGATTCATTGTTAAAGCTTATGTTTAGTATATATGAGGCTCTGGGTTCAACCCAAGTACCTCCCCCCAAGGAAATAGATGGAGATAATCAGAAAAAGGAATGTGGGTCCGAAGCCTGCAACAACAACAAAGGCTGCTTTCATGGACTACTGATTAGAACATGGGGTGAAGCAAGACAGAGGCAGTTGATAGGCTTACTCTTAGAGAAAAGTCTATTCTAGTGTTTTTGTTAAGTAGGAGGTAGGAGCCATTGAGAAGTTTGAAAAGTATATCCAAATTGTTGGCCCATGTTGCTAAAAGATTTTCTTTTTGAAGAGGCAGATCATACCATGGTTAAGAAATGTAGGGTAAGGGTTGGGGATATAGCTCAGTGGTAGAGCTCTTGCCTAGCAAGCGCAAGGCCCTCCCTGGGTTTGGTCCTCAGCTCTGAAAAAAAAGAAAGAAATGTAGGGTCAATGACGTGTTGGAAGCTTATGTGTCTGGGGCTTCCAAATGTAGCAAAACATTAACAACTGTCAAGTTACTAAGTTATTAAATAGGTGAATTGTGATAGTATAGGTGTTCTACATAGTTTTCATTCAACTTTTTTGGAGATTGAAAAAAAGTGTGTGTGTGTGTGTGGGTGTGTGTGTGGGTGTGTATGTGTAGGTCAGTTAACAACTTTGGAGTTACATGATTGACCTCAGGTTGCTACCTTTGCACATGGCAAGTGCCTTAACTCTCTGAACCATCTTGCAAGCCCTGAAGATATTTTAAGAAGCTGCAAAAAAGCAATCAGGAGAAGTTTGACTAAGACAGGTTTATGTAGAAGCTGTGGTTTTGTTGTTTGTATGCTGTATAAGTACTGGAATGTTATTTCCAAGCTACATAGTCTACATCTATTGCAGCCTAATTTAGATTTTTCCATTTAAGAGGGAGTACTTTATTTTGGTAGATGGCTTGTTTCCTCCTAAATAAGTGTCTATGCCAGACTCATTTTCTTTTTAAATTTTTTGACAGGGTCTAGTAGTTACTTTTCTGTTGCTGTGATAAAATACTAAAAGAAGCTGGGCATGGTGGCACACGCCTTTAATCCCAGTATTTGGGAGGCAGAGGCAGGTGGAGCTCTGTGAGTTCAAGGCCAGCCTGGTCTACATAGTGAGTTCCAGGACAGCTGGGGCTACAGGGAGACCCTGTCTCAAAAAGACCAAATAAATAAATTAAATAAATAAATAAATAAATAAATAAATATCTTAAAGAATAGTTTATTTGGCTCTTCAGAGGGATAGAGTTCATCATGGAAGGGAGTGTATGGCATGGCAACAGGAGCCACCTAGCAGAAAATGGGGTGAGGATATAAACCCTCAAAGCCCAACCCCAGTGACATACTTTCTCCAGTAAGGCTGCACCTCCTAACCTCCCCAAACAGTGCTACCAACTAGAGTGCATGTATTCAAATACCTGAGCCTGTCTTCACCCCACTTCCCCCCCCCTCTCTCTTTCTCTCTCTGCTTCTATGTGTGGGTATCATGTAATGAGCCAGCTTCCTCCTCTAGTCTGCTGCCATGCCTGCCCCACTGTGATGGACTCTTAACACTCTGGAACTATAAGAAAATAAACCCTTTCTTAAGTTTCTTTTGGTCATAGTCTTTTATCACAGCAACAGAAAAATAACTAATACAGAAGTTGGTGCTGAGAGTGGGGTTATTATTGTAAGGAACTTGACCATGTTAATTTTTGGAGGAATGTGCAAGACTTTAGAAGTCTGGATTTTTAAAAACTGTTGAACACTGTAAGCAGAGACTAACAGAGCATTCTGGTTGGAGCCTGGTAAAGTACCTGCTCATGAAGTTTCAGAGGGAAGCAAAGACTTTATTAGCAACTGGGCTGGAAGCCATCATGTGATATTTTGACAAAAAAATCTAGCAATGTCCTGAAAATTTTTGTGAGGCTCAACTAAAAAGTAATAGACTAATTTCTTTTGCAGAAGAAATATCAAAACAACATAACATTGAGTCTGTGGCTGGTTATTACCAATTACTCTTATACAGGTCTACGGTAAAACAAATGACACAGAAAGAAATACAAAATGTTCAGCCTATAGAAGAAAAGTACCCTGGGACATTTAGTGTTCTTCCCAAGGCATGTGCTGGAAAAGAGGCTGTAATTGTGAAGATATTAGTGCTTAAGGAGAGGCCCCTTGCTCTGCACTGGAACAGTGGGAAAGGTGCCCTCAGGGCAAGACCCCACCCAGCTAAGTTTCTACCTGGTGAAAGGAGAAGGCCTCAGGAGTTTCCTTGTTCCTAAAAATCAGCAGCATACAAAAGCTGCTTCAGATGCCATCCAAGGGGGTGAGGGTCCATCCCAAGCTGGCAGCTGAATTTGTCAGTGTTCTCCATGTGTTTTTAGCTTTAGAAGCATAAAAGATACAAGAATGAGAGGATTGTGGATTCTTCCTTCTCAGTTTCAGAGAGCCACTGAGGCCAGGCAGTGTGTGAAAGGAGAGGCCCTGCAAAGAGTCCCTGTGAAACCACTGCATGAAGCTGTGAAGATAAAACCTAGATTGCAGTGGAGACTCCAAGATGTTGGAGATCTGTGAGACATCTGCCAAGGAGAGCTGTATACAGGGAGTGGAAGCAGCCCTACAGGGAGCTTTGTGATACAGACAACAAAGCCATCTTACCCCTTTGAAACTGAAGCCCTAGGTACTAGACATGGAGCTACAGGATTTGGTGTTTATCCTGCTGGGTTTTGGTCTTGTTTTGGTCCTGTATTTCATCACTGTGCCCCATTCCTCCCTCTTGGATTGGGAATATACTGTGCCATTGTATGTTGGAAGTATGTAATTTGTCTTTTATTTTACAAGGGGTCACAGTTAAGACATTGCCTTAAGTCTCAGAAGAGACTTTGGACTTTTGAACAGTGTTGAGACTGTTAAAGACTATGGGGACTTTTGAAGTTGGTTTTTTGCATCATGATAGGACCATGAGCCTTTGGCAGTCAGGTGTGGAATGTGGTTTAGATGAGAAATGTTTCCCAAAGACTCATGTATTTGAACACTTGGTGGCAGTGGTGCCACTGTTTGGGGAGGTTATAGAATGTTGAGGAGGTATAGCCCTGCTACAGGAAGTGCATCACAGGGGTGGGCTTTGAGGCTTTATATTCTTACCCCACTTCCCACTGGCTCTCTTTGTTCCTGTGTGCAGAGATGTAAGCAGCCAGCTTCCTGCTCCTACTGCCTTTGTGGACCCATAAGCCAAAATAAACCCTTTCTTCCTAAAGTTTCTTTTTGTCATGGTATTTTTATCACAACAACAGAAAACTAATACAAGGGTGTTTAAACCATGGTGTTTAATGCGTTTGTTGATAGAGTTGTTGTTGACATGATTGCTATGTATTTTCTCTATTTATTTTTTTTGTCTTTTTGAGATAGGGTCTCCCTGTAGCCTGAGCTGGCCTGAAACACACTATGGAGACCTGATAGCCTCGTCTCACAGAGATCCACCTGCCTCTGCCTCCTGAGTGGTGGGATTAACTGTGTGCACAACCACAGCCAGCTGAGTTTAGGTAATTTCTATTACATTGTTTTTGAGTTTAATTGATTCTCTAACTTTTTCAAATTTGCTGGTGAGCCCATCAAAGGAATTCTTCACTTCCATTATGTTTTTCTCATTTTTTTTAAACATTTCTATTTAATTCTTTCTTAGTTTGCATCTCTGTTATACATTTCTAGTATTTATTTTTATTTTCCTTTTTACATAGGAGCCATAGAGGTAAAAATTTAATCTTGTGTTATTATTCCTATTTTCTAAAAAAAAAATTTTTTTTTTTATGTGTATGAGTGTTTTGAGTGCATGTATGTAAAAGTACCCATACATATAATGCCTGCTGAGGCCAGAAGAGGGCATTAGATCCCCTGGAACTGGAGTTACAGACAGTTGTTAGCTGCCATGTGGGTGCTGGGAGCTGAACCTGGGTCCTGCAAGAACACACAATGCTCTTAACTGCTGAGCCATCTCTGTAGCCCCTTACTATTACTATTTTTAATGTTTATTTTTCTTATCTTAGGATTGGAAAAGACTCTTGACCAGATAGAAATGCACAGAAGCTAACTGAAGAAAGCAGGAAGTAAAGACAGAGCAGTCCACTGATCTGACTGATTTATTTGCTCAGGGTCAGTAATCATCTAAATTGATTCTTTCACATTCTCTACTTCATAATACCATCAAAATCACTACTTTACTCTTGTTCAGCTAAAATAAAATAAACATGAGTAACTGTTATGTATCTGTGTCCTATTCAAATAGGACATGAGATTTCAGATTGTAACACCTTGGTAATGTTAGGTTTATAGAACCTGACAAGGATATGTTTTTTCTGCCAATTCAGAATTTCCTGAGTCCTCCATTGTTTTTGTGTCTATCTGGCCAAAGTTACAACTTGTTTCTTTGTTCTTCATTCATTGGAACATTTTTGTAAGCCTGTGTTACGCTTGGTGATGATCATACCAAGGAACAAAATGTCATGTCCTTTTCTGTGGGAGCTGCAGAAACTTCTGCTTGAACATGCAGTGTGGTTAGTACTGTGGTCCGAGTACAAAATACCCCTGGACACAGAGGGTATAATGGTCCATTTGGGCTATAGGAGATTGATTGGTGCTATGTAATAATGGTAGCATTTCAAATGGATTTTGCAGAGTGATTAAGATCTTGAAAGAGAGTTGACTGGCCATTCTAAGCCAAGCACATAGCTTATGCAGAAGAAATAATCTTGAAGTACTTCTGAGTTTGGCTCTTTTACTACTTTTTGTTTTTGCAAACATTTGGGGGTGGGGTAGGGTTGTTGTTACTTCTTCTGTTTTCTTGTGATTCCCCAGGGTAGGTTCTTTGGCATTGAATCTCTAGTTTAAGGACTAGCATTATAAAGTCACCTGGATAGCTTTCAATGGAAGTTCAGGACATTGTTCAGCCTGTGAAGACCATTGGTAACATAGGGAAAGGAGACAGACTTCCCTGATATTTTTTCTAAGAAAATCTTCAGGGCAGCCAGGCAGATACAGAGAAGAATCCTTAGTGGTTTGTACTCTTGAGAAGTCCTGTATCTGCCAGTGATTTGTGATTTATACTCTTTTTTAAAATTTAAATTTAAATTTTAAAATATATTTTAAAACTTTTATTTTAATAGTTTTTAGATTTATTATTCTTTTTAAAATTTATGTTCATATATGTATGTCTGAATGTGCAGGTACTCACAGAGGCCAGAAGAGGGCATTGAATTCCCTGAAGCTCAGTCACAGGAAGTTGTAAGCTGTCTAATGTGGGTGTTGGGAATTGAACAGCAAGTGTTCTTAACCATCAAGCCATCTGTCCAGCCAAGGTTTATACTCATGAGAAGTCCTGTACCAACAATAGTTTGCTTTGACTTTGCTGTTTATGGTCTACTTCTGACCTTTCTCCCAGCCCCCTCCCTCAACCAAGAGAAATGAGGTGCAATTCAGAAAAAGTAGATGAAATACCTATCCCCAGGCTGGGTGGTGGTGCATGCTCCTAATCCTAGCACTAGGGAGGCAGAGGCAGGCAGATCTCTGTGATTTTTAGGCTAGCCTGGTCTACATAACAAGTTCCAGGTCAGCCAGTGCTATAAAGAGACTCTGTCTCAAAAAGATCCCTACTCACAAATAGAATTCCTCTTCAACACTCATGGATGACAAATAATATGGTTAATATATGTGAGTGCTAAGAATTGCTTTTTAAATTAACGTATATATTTTTTTCTGGGATAGGAAATAAACCATCTGTCTCCAGACATGTCATCAGAAAGTAAAGAGCAACATGACCTTTCACCCAGGGATTCATCTGAAGGAAATGACAGTCTTCCATATGAGGTCCCTCTGGAAGCTCAGAAAGAATCAAGCACTGACTTCAAGCAATTTGAGACCAATGATCAGTGCAGACCTTATCATAGGATCCATATGGAACCTCAAGAGAAGCCAAATACTAACATCAAGCAGTTTATCATCAGAAAGTTGGAGAAGAGTTGCCAGTGTAGTCCAGCCAAAGCCAAAAATATGATTTTTGATTTCCTTCCTGTTTTGCAATGGCTCCCAAAATATGATCTAAAGAAAAACATTTTGGGAGATGTGATGTCTGGTCTGATTGTAGGTATATTACTGGTACCCCAGTCCATTGCTTACTCACTGCTGGCTGGCCAAGAACCCATCTATGGTCTGTACACTTCTTTTTTTGCCAGCATCATTTATTTCCTGTTTGGTACCTCCCGTCACATCTCTGTGGGTATTTTTGGAATACTGTGCCTTATGATTGGTGAGGTAGTTGACCGAGAACTACACAAAGCTGCATATATTTTGCCTTCTTCAGGAATGGTTGTAAATGGAAGCATATTAGTAAACTACACATTAGACAGCACTTGTGACAAAAGTTGCTATGCAATTAAAATTGGCAGCACTGTGACCTTCATGGCAGGAGTTTATCAGGTAAGAAGCCTAGGCAACTAATCATTATACATGAAATCTCAGGTCCATAAATAATTCTTAGGGGCTTGTAATAAAGCTATCGCTTACTGGTGCTCAGGAGAGCCAAAATTTAAACCGTAGGTTCCCCTGGTAAGATAAGTCTAAGTTTTCTTGCCTATTCCTAGGCTGCCTCTTTTTTTTTTGGTCTTTTTGAGACAGGGTCTCCCTGTAGCCCCAGCTGTCCTGGAACTCACTATGTAGACCAGGCTGGCCTTGAACTCACAGAGATCTGCCTGCCTCTGCCTCCCAAGTGCTGGGATTAAAGGCGTGTGCCACCACACCCAGCCTTTTTTTTTTTTTTAATGTGTATGAGTGTCTTGCCTGCATGTATGAAAGTACACCCATGCCCGTGTCATGCATTGCCCACAGAGGACAGAAGAGGGCATCAGATAACCACCACATGGGTACTGGGATTCAAACCTGGGTCTTCTGCAAGAGCAGCCAGTGCTCTTAACCACTGAGCCATCTCTTCAACCCCTCTAGGCTGCCTCTTAACCAGTGAATTTAGACAGCCAGATTTTAATTATTTGATTGTAAAAAATCTAGACCAGGGCCTGGAGAGATGGCTGAGCGGTTAAGAGCACTGACTGCTCTTGCAGAGGACCTGGGTTTGATTCCCAGCACCGACATGGTGGCTACGAACTGTCCTTAACTCCAGTTTGGGGGAATCTGAAGCCCTCTTCTGACCTCCGTGGCATTGCACGACATGGGTGCATTCACATACGTGCAGGCAATACACTTATACACATAAAATAAAAATAATAAAATACATTAAAAAAAAAAAAACGCCAGGCGTGGTGGCACACGCCTATAGTCCCAGCTCTTGGGAGGCAGAGGCAGGTGGATCTCTGTGAGTTCAAGGCCAGCCTGGTCTACATAGTGAGTTCCAGGACACCTAGGGCTACAGGGAGACCCTGCTTCAAAAAGACAAAAAAAAAAACAAAAAACTTAGACCAGTCCTCAGACTGACTAGTACAACTACTTAATTTTAAAGCTATGTGTGGCTGATTATTGGCAAGTCAGCATGAGTAGTGGAGTGGGGATAGAGCAGGGAGTGTAGTTGTCCAACTGATTGACATCTGCCTTCCTTTAGAGTGACTGCCTCAGCAAGACTTCGACGAAAGATAGTAGTTATCTTGGATTATTGAAGAGGGAGAGAAACCCTGAGATACATAGGACCTTGTTTCAAAACACAGACAAAAGCCCTTCACTTTCACTTTTACAGCAATAATTTTTCTTTTTGATCTTTTTTTGAGACGGATTCTCCCTGTAGCCATAGCTGGCCCAGAACTCACTATGTAGACCAGGCTGGCCTTGATCTCAGAGAGATCTACCTGCCTCTGCCTCCCTAGTGCTGAGACTAAAGGTATGTGCCACCATGCTCAGCTACAGCAATAATTTTTAATTTGGAGAAAATGTTTTCTTAATTAGAAGAATTTTCCCAATTTGGGGGGGGGGTGTTTTATTTTAAAAAAAATTATTTTTACTTTATGTGTATGAGTGTATTGCCTGCAAGTGTGTTGTAAAATGCATGGGGAGGTCGGAAGAGGGCATTGGATCCCCTGGAACTGGAGTTACAGACCATTGTTAGCCTCCATATGGGTGCTGGGAACCAAATCGGGGCCCTCTGCAAGAGCATCCAGTGTTTGTAATCACTCCAGGCCCCCCCGCCCACTTGAGTTTTTATGTGTTCTTTTGGAACCTTGAGAATATTCTTTTTGAAAGCAATTATGAACTCTGTTTAACTTTTTTGAGACAGGGTCTCCCTATACACCCAGCTGGCCTGGAACTCTGTCGATCAGGCTGGCCTTGATCTCACAGAGATCTGCCTGCCTCTGCCTCCTCCTTCTGAGTGCTGGATTATGTGTGCTACAACAGCCCGCTTTTGTGTTCAGTGAATAAAACTAGTGTATGAGAAGTAGAAATGCCATGCCCTTGTTTTACTTGGGCTAATGAGTGTGACTTTGGAGTGTGACATGAGAACATTAATGTATGATTGCATTAATTTAGCTCTGACATTTTTTGATGCTCTGATGGTTTGTTGCCAGGGTAATACGAAATTAAGCAGTTCTTTTCCATTTCTGTTTAACACTTGTATATCGTCCCTTCCAGGTAGCAATGGGCTTCTTTCAAGTGGGCTTTGTCTCTGTCTACCTCTCAGATGCCTTGCTGAGTGGATTTGTCACTGGTGCCTCTTTCACCATCCTCACATCTCAGGCCAAGTACCTCCTTGGGCTGAGCCTTCCTCGGAGTCATGGTGTGGGCTCACTTATCACTACCTGGATACATATCTTCAGAAACATTCGTAAGTCCAATATCTGTGATCTCATCACCAGCCTTTTGTGTCTCCTGGTCCTTTTGCCAACCAAAGAACTCAATGAACACTTCAAGTCCCGTCTGAAGGCACCAATTCCCACTGAACTCATTGTCGTTGTGGCAGCCACACTAGCCTCTCATTTTGGAAAACTAAATGAGACTTATAATTCCAGTGTTGCTGGACATATTCCCACTGGGTTTATGCCACCCAGAGCACCAGACTGGAACTTAGTTCCTAATGTGGCTGTAGATGCAATAGCTATTTCTATCATTGGTTTTGCTATCACTGTATCACTTTCTGAGATGTTTGCCAAGAAACATGGCTATACAGTCAGAGCAAACCAGGAAATGTATGCCATTGGCTTCTGCAATATCATACCTTCCTTCTTCCACTGCATAACTACTAGTGCAGCTCTTGCAAAGACTTTAGTTAAAGAATCAACGGGCTGCCAATCGCAGCTTTCAGCTGTTGTGACAGCCCTTGTTCTTTTGCTGGTCCTTCTGGTAATAGCTCCTTTATTCTATTCCCTTCAGAAATGTGTCCTTGGTGTGATCACTATTGTAAATCTCCGGGGTGCCCTTCTTAAATTCAGAGATGTGCCCAAGATGTGGCGGGTAAGCAGAATGGATACTGTTATCTGGTTTGTTACCATGCTGTCCTCTGCTCTGATAAGCACTGAAATAGGCCTGCTTATTGGGGTTTGTTTTTCTATGTTTTGTGTAATCCTCCGAACTCAGAAGCCAAAGATTTCATTGCTTGGTTCGGCAGAAGAATCTGAAATCTTTGAATCCCTGTCTGCTTACAAGAACCTTCAGACTAAACCGGGCATCAAGGTTTTCCGCTTCATAGCCCCTCTCTATTACATAAACAAAGAATGCTTTAAGTCTGCTTTATACAGAGAAACTCTAAACCCAGTCTTAGTAAAGGCAGCTCAGAAGAAGGCAGCAAAGAGAAAACTTAAAGCAGAAACAGTGAGTTTCAATGGGATTCAGGATGAAGTTTCAGTGCAACTTTCCCATGATCCCTTGGAGCTGCATACTATAGTGATTGACTGCAGTGCAATACAATTTTTAGATACAGCTGGAATCCACACACTGAAAGAAGTTCGCAGAGATTATGAAGCTATCAGTATCCAGGTTCTGTTGGCTCAGTGTAATCCTTCTGTGAGGGATTCCTTGACCAGAGGACAATATTTCAAAAAGGAAGAAGAAACTCTTCTCTTCTACAGTTTGTCTGAAGCAGTGGATTTTGCAGTAGAATCTCAAAACCTTAAAGGAGTGTGTGTGCTCAATGGTGTGAATCTTTCTGGTGACTGAGAGGGTAGATAGAAGGAAGAAGTGTGGCCAGTTTCAGTGTGCAGTATTTTCTACCTTGAAACTAGGAAGTGGTGCACACTTGAAATTTTTTTCCTTTGAAGCTAATAGCCTCTTAATATTCTCAAGTGCAGTAGAGCTTATAGTTGGACAGAATCAAAAAGAAAATGTGGCTTGCAGATATGAGGTGTCCTTGGGGTACAGCGTCAGCTGGATTGACCACCCCCAAACTTAATCATTCCGCTTTAGAAACCACACCTGGACTCTGCTCTAGGAAGTAGAGAGGTGAAGGTGGTGTTTGTGTGGCAGGAGCTGGAGCCTTGGATGGCTCTGGATGGAGCAAGGCAGAAAGAAGGCAGGAAAGTGCACTCTTCTGCTGCAGGTTTGCTCGTGGGGCTTGTGGGGCACAAGGGCCGAACAGACAAGTTTCCTTCCACCCACTGCTGCTTCTCTCTTCCCAAGCATTGTTCCCCAGACAGCAGTAAAATCTCTGGCTTATGTTGCCATCCCTTAGGCAGGAACTGTGCGCATGGGCTCGTAAGAGTCTGACATCCCGAGGGCCAGCCTGACATTGTACAGAGCAACTTCTGTAAACATTTGATGTTTTTATTAGAATAAGTTGGTAAGCAGAGAATTCTTCGAAGTCGGGGGGAAAAAAGGAAGTCCCCTGTCTTCTCTTTGACTCTGTATTTGTTTCCAAGAGTTTATCTCGTATTGAGCTATTTTACCTCTCACGCATCCCAGGGCATCTCTCCCTGGAATCTGTCTTAAAGTGGTATTTCTGAATATCACTGACAGGCTCCACAAAGCAGAATGCTGACTCAGCAATTTCTTGTTACTTTGTGTATGGGCTTGTGGCAAACTTTCAAGGACAAATTGCAAAAAAGAATAAATGACAGTCTCCCTTAAGAATAGTTCCCCCAGTCATCCCCATAGCACTTAAGCAAGGATCTGCTGAGGACTGACAGTCTCTCAAATAGGAGTTATAGTTTCTGAAAAAAATTACAGAGGTAGTAGAGTGCTTCCAAAGGACATCAGTCATTAATCTGTGGATGTTAGTGAGAGCAATGCTGATGCTTACTGCCGTGCACCCTATTGGTATGCGGTAAATACTTATGTCAATGGCAGGTTTTAACTTGTTATGCAACAGTATTACAGAACCCAGGTTTCATTGATGTGTTATTTGTGGTAGCTGGACACAGGTTATGAGTTGAGGAAAGATTTCTTTGGAAAAGCAGAATATGGCATTGAAAGCACTTTGGCAACCAAGAAAAAGACAGGTTATCCAAAATTAGGACTAGGGACTGACTGTGAGATTAAAGCAAGGTTTAGACAAGGCTTTAAGTAAAATAATGGTTGCCAAAGTACAGAATCATTTTTTTAGGCTGTTCTTACATTCAGAACAATTTCAAATATGAGGAGCAAGCTCTATGTAAGGAACATATTGGGGTGGAGTGCTTTTAAACCTTTACACACACTCCACAAACTTCCCCTGTTGCTCTGCTCTTGGCAGAACACTCTTTGTTTACGTGGTGCAGCAGTTACTTTTCTGTTGCTGTGATAAAAATACCACGACTAAAAACAACTTCTGGAAGAAAGAGTTGGTTTTGACTTGCCGTTCCATGGAGAGAGTTAATGGTGGTGAGGAAGGCCATGGCAGGAGGTGGCCAAAGCAGGAAGTGGAGAACTCACATCTTGTTTTAAAACATTTTTTGATATATTTATTTTCTGTATATTAGTGTTTGGTCTGCATGTACATAATGTGTTGTGCAGTGCCCATGGAGGTTGGAAGATGACATCACATTTCCTGGAACTGGAGTCACAGATGGCTGTTACTGCTGTATAGGTGCTAGGAACCGAACCCAAGTCCTCTGCAAGAGCAGCCAGTGCTCTTACTGCTGAGCCATCTCTCCAGCCATCTCTTCAGCTACCTCTTAAACTGTAAACACCAAACAGAGCAAACTGAGTGGGGTGAGGCTGTAAACTCTGAAAGCCCACCACCAGTGACATACTTCCTCCTTTAGGCTACACCTAAAGATTCCAAGACCTCCCTAGACAGCACCACTACCTGGAGCCCAAGTGTTCAAATACTTGAGCCTGAGGGGAACATTTCATTCCAAACACAAGACTTGGGAGATGCCTTTCCTTGATCTCAAAAAAAGTTCCTGAGTAGAAAATCTGGATTTCTATCTTCTAGATGATTATGTTGTGAGTAAATGTAGCATCCTGAATTTTGACATCCCTCTGCTCAGTCCTAGAATTTTAGAAATGTTAATTGCTGCTTATATTTGTTCTTTTGTTTGTTTTTCTAATGTTTACCCCTTCCATCCAGCTTTATGAATAATTGTAAGATCACAGTATCTTAATCATTTGTTTTTAATCCCTCTTGCCCTTTCCCTAAGCCAGGTTGGAATTGAGACTATTATAATAGATGTCTTAATACTCAGTTACAGACTAATAAGTTCATGTTTAATGGGTCTGGAGTGATGGCTCAGTGCTTAAAAGCACAGGCTGCTCTTGCAGAAAACCCAAACTAAGTTCTCAGTACCCATCTCAGGCACTTCAAAACTACCTGTAACTACAGCTCCAGGGAATTCAATGCCCTCTTCTGGCCTTCTCAGGCATCTACAGGTGCGCGCGCGCGCGCGCGCGCGCACACACATACACACACACACACACAAACACACATTTAAAAAAAAAAAAAAAACAAGGCCAACCTGGTCTACATATTGAGTTCCAGGCCAGCTGGGGCTAAAGGGAGACCCTGTTTCAAAAAGACCAAAAAAAAAAAAAAAAGAGTACATGTTTAGGACAACTTTAATCCATCCAACCCCATCATAGGAAAAGAATTTTAGTCCAGTGAGTGTTTGGAAAATCCCTTAGAAGTATGGATGAAAGGATTTTCCCTTTACTGACATTTCCATTCATGTAGATCAAAAAAGTTCTAGAGCTTTATACCTACAGTTAGTGAGTTCAGTTCTGGTTTGTACCTGTCCTACCCAGCCAAATGAGATCCTGCTTGTAATAGCCATTTTTAAAACATTTAAGGTTTCACTAGAACTTGTTTCATCCTTCATCTTTGGGTTGATGTCTTTATAAAATTGTGCATTGTTACAAATTTTTGCTGATATTTAAAGGAATCAAACCTAGAACCAAAGCCTAATTCACCACCAGCAGCAAAAACAAAACCTAATGTATTTATTTGCTTTCTTGATATTTTAAACATTATTCATAAAGGTTATCTTGCTTACTCTGAACGTTGGAGTATAAAACATTTTCTGATTGACAAATATAAAAACGCTGAATATTTTTAAACATCATCATTTAATTGAAATACATTTAATTTAAATATGGTCTCACGCAGCACAGGCTAGCCTTAGAGCTGCTAAGTAGCTGAGGATGACCTTGATCTTTTGATCTCCTGCCTCCACTTACAAGTGCTGGGATTACAGACTGGATGGAGTGTAGAGCAAAGAAAATAGCTTGGAGAAATTAAAAGTTAGCTCACAAAACTTCCTGACCAGAGAGGAAGAGAACTGGCTGAGTAGGATCTAGACCATGATAAACCCCACGATAAGGTCAGGATTCAGAAGCACACCTCTAAGGGCAAAACTAAAGAGACTGTTTATAGCAGGGAATAGTTACAGGTCCACCACAGCTCCAAAGAATTAAGTGGTGAGCTGGGTGTGGTAGTGCACACCTTTAATCCTACTGCTCTGGAGACAAGAGGCAGAAGACTGTGAGTTTGAGGCCATTCTGGTCTACATAGTAAGCTCCAGGTCTCAGAAAAAAAAAGTAAGTGGCCTGAGTCTGGGTTAGCCTACTCAGAAGTGCTGTTTTCCCTCTGAGCTGAATGGCTGTAGTGCTGTCTGTGCCTCTGATAAGATATTAAGACTGACAGGTATCTAGTTGATTTTAATTTTAAGTAGGACCAAAGGAAAACAAGGTATAATTTAGGTAATCTGAGTTAGCTCTTTTTTTAAGCTTTTATGTGTATGTGTGAGTGCCTGCATGTATGTATGTACACCTCCTATGTGCCTGGTGCCTGAGGAGACCAGAAGAAGGCATGGGAACTCCATACAGATGGTTGTGATCCACCATTCGTGTCTGGCAACCCAACCCAGGTCCTCTGCAAGAGCAGCCTATGCTCTTAACCGCTGAGTCATCTCTCCAGCACCTGACTTGGCTTTTAAATAATAGCCAGTGATGTCAAAATTTGTTATAAAGTTTGTAGTATGGCAGTGGTGAACTTTGAAACTGCATGGACATGTTGGATGAGTTCATTAGACTATTCTAATGCTATGGACTACATTTTAGCAAGAACAGTAGTTTTCTGCAGGGGTGTTCTCTGAGTATTTGGACATTAAAGAACACATTGTCAGGGTTAATCCCAGTCTGAAAAGTAAAAAAAAAAAAAAAAAAAAAAAACTTTGTAGAGGTTAAACCCCAGCTTAAAAATAAAAAAAAAAAAAAAAAAAAAGATATGTAGTATATTTCTTGGGAACTTAAACCGAGCCTCTTAATTTCCAGAGGGATCCTGGTAGGCACTTAAGTATTTTGTAGAGAGTGTTTGAGCTGAGACTGGACTGAGTCCCAAGCAGAAGGCAGTGCCACCCTGGTCTGTTCAGGGAACACTGCACAGAAAGGTGGCCTGCTCCAATCTACAGGCTTAATTTGCTTGATTTTTATGTTCTTTAGTACTAGGTTTTCCTCCCTTGAATCTTTTCTTTATTCTAAACCTGGGCTTTAAAAGTTGCAAAAGGATGAAATGCAACGTTTTTAAAGCCGAGCATTAAAACATCACTAGACTCAAACTTGGTGTGGTGGCACATACCTGTAATAGTGACACTCTGGAGAATGAGAGGAGGATGAGACATCGAGGCCAGCCTGAGCTACATGATGACACCTTGCAAGAAATAAAATAAAGCTAGGTGTTGAAGATTCATTTGTCCCCCCTCCCCCACCCTTTGTGTATAAAGATTTTTAGATAGTCATGAATCATACATTTGGGTGCTAATATAAGAATGAACATTATAATGGAACAGACAAAATAGTATACCAGCTGGCTTGTTATAGACTGTCTTAAAGTAAAATACAACTGGAATAGTTTGTATTAAAAGTAAAATGTTAAGTTTTTTTTAAAAAAATTGTAACTTTGGAATGGAGGATTTAGATGTAGGTTAAGGGGAATTTTTTAATAAGGTAATTTTTATTCAGGTAAGAACTATTTTTTTTTTACAAAATATTTTGTAACAAATTTTAAAGTAAACCTATTTAATACAATTAGGAAATAAAATAATGATTATACTAGTAGATTTTTTGTGTTACTTTGTACTTTATAACTTGGTGGTATAAAGTAAGAATGTATTGAAGTCTGAAGCCTGGATAATTAAGGATACCAAATGCCTTTATTAGAGATGTTGTATTTCTAAGCCTGTGATAAGCTGCCTATGACAGAAAGGGGTTTTTTTTTGCTTTTTTTTTTTTAAATCTGAAACTTGAATAAACTCCCTTTGGGGAGGTTCTCCAACTCCATACCTCATCCCTAGTAAGAAACTTGGGATCAAATAGCTGTTTCCTAATTGGAAATCAGTTGCAGAATTGGAGTCTGAGTCCTGATGCTGCCATGGTTTCTGTTCCCTAGAAGTTAGTGTGAGCACAGGCACACAGGCTTCCTTTCCCATCGTAACTCTGTACAAATCCAGACAATGTCAGGGAGACAGGTGAATGAACTTAAATTCTTAGTCTTTACCAAAACTGTTTAGATAATACCTCCTTTTTCTTTATCAAGGCTGATTGCTTTTAGGGACATATTTTATAGTAGGTTGTTTTTTTCTCTTAATTAAGGTAGGTGCCTTGATGTTATTCCTCATAAACATTGCTCAGCCATCTTCTGGGATAAGGATGAGGCATCTCTTGTTGGAGGGCAGGGGAGTTGGGAAGAATATGTTTGTATTGTTTGTATTGCTTATTTGTAAGTTCTTGTATGTGTGTTTGAGATCTAAAGGTGTCGTCTCTTTTGCTAATAAATTGTTACTGTAATAAAATATTACTGTGTCTAAGTTATTTTAGTGCAAGGGGATTCTGACTAAAACATTTAGGTACCAGCAAGTTCGGAAGTGGCATCTAGGTGTGCTGGTACAGACCTGCTACCCCAGGACTCAAGAGGCGGAGCAGGAGGATCTGTAGATGGGTTCCATAACAAGACTCTGTCCCAAAGTAATTAGTAGTAGTAGTAGTAGTAGTAGTAGTAGTAGTAGTAGTAGTATCTCATTATATTTGGAAAGATTGTGTTTTTCCCAAATGTAACAAGTATTTGTAATCATAGACATCAAGCCTAATGCTTTTCCTTTGGGGACTCCATTTTTCTGTCAGTGAAGAAGGATTAGATTGCTTGAAGACCCATCAGTTTTCACATTGCATGGCTCCTATTTCATACCATGTTAGACTCAGAAAACCCAAATCTTGCTTATTTCCCACTGTCCTAACTGAATTTGACCAAGAGACCCTTAAGCTACATTTTCCCATCAGAAAATAGGCATATGGCATAGTGACTAAGAGCTGGGGGTAGACTAAGAGCTAGAAACACAGTTGGGCTTTTGGTTTGGTTTGGGTGTTTTGAGACAGGGTCTCACTGTGTACCCCTGGCTGGCCTGGAACTTACTGTGTAGACCAGGCTGGCCTTGAACTCACAGAGATCTGCCTGACTCTGCCTCTCAAGTGCTGAGATTAAAGGTGTACCCTATCACACCTGGCAGTTTGGTTTTTATGAGACAAGTCTTTGCCATGTAGGCCAGGCTAGCTTTGAACTAGTGACCCTTCTGCCACAGCCTCCTGGGTGCCAGAATTTTATGAATGTACTGTCATGTCTGGCTGGAAGACATTTTATACTGCCGCTTTCTGTACCTGTCATGGCTTCATCTCCTAGAAGATATTTTCCTTTATGCCTTCTCAAAGGAGTAAGTGTAAGGCACAGTAAGTGTAGGTCCTTTTTCAGCAACTTGGGCATTTACTCTCCAACTTCATTCACATCCAACAGAGTGAAGGTGTTAACTATAAACACCCTGTTTGCACACAGCACTGAGCATCTTGGGCCCTTTGAGTGCACTCAGTCATTCTTTTGTGTCTCCTTCAGCCACCTTCAGGGGCTCCTCTCCCCCATGTATCCTTTCAGTACTCTGTGTCCTTCATGTAGATCCATTGCATTCTTAAGTTGTTTACTTTCAGATCCATTAGAAACTGATAAAACTGTGGCTCTTCTTGCAGAAATATCACATGTGGAGGTATACACACAATTATAAAAAGGTTTATTGAAGCCAGGCACAGTGATGTATACCTGCAATCTCAGCACTTAGGAGACTGAGACAGGAAGATTGCAAGTTCAAGGCAGCCTGGGTTACTATGTAGTGAGATTCTGTCCCAACATACAAAAGTTAGTTCATAAACCCTCATATCTTGAACACTATAAGCTCTCTCCAGTTTACATCTACATCTATGACTTTCTCTCCTTGCTAATGGCATGTAAAGATTTCTCTTGAGGTTGGAGAGATGGCTCAGCACTTAAGGGAACTTCCTCTTACAGAGGACCTAAGTCCCACATCAGCTTACAGTGGCCTGTAACTCCAGCCCTAGGAGATCCACTGTCCATGGGTACCAGCACTCATGTGCATATAC